TCTGGATCCAGATGCTAATTTTTTAAAGGTTTGGGATTGATGTTGGCAGAAATTGAAGGTTAAGATAAAATTTACAAAAAACTCAAAGTTTGGGATCGCTATTGCAATTTTCGCTTCTTTAAATGAAGGAGGATTATTTATAGATTTTCCTCCATGCATTGGGGTAGTTTGATAATTCTTGCATTGCACTAGGTTGATGACCCTAAATCGTAATCTTATAACTAATTTGGTTAAAAATCATGCTTTATTCACTCATTCATGTATTTTTTTTTTTTTTTTTGACAACCTATACTTGACAAACAGTTTAAGATCTTTATACAAACCTTGTGTCTTTTTGCTCCCTTCGTATCTTTATACAAACCTTGTGTTTTCGAGTTTACCTTAGATCTTGAAATATCTAAACAAGTGCTCTCTTGGTACTTCGGAGTTTAAGTTATGTATGCCTTCATTACCTTCCTCTGCGTAAGGGGTTTTGATTATGATATTGATTTTTATTCGCGAAAGTTGGGCACATGCAGCCTAAATTAGCTTGTGGTAGTATCTTACATGCCTTGGTAGTCGTGCAGGCCTCTGAATCCTTGGCATGATAGTCTTATCTTTTTGCCAATTATTTTTAACACTTTGTAGCATTCATTTGTGTCATGACTTTCAGAGCAATGGAATTTGTAGAATTTTAGCGTGCGTATATTAGACGATGGATATGCTTCGTCAAAGTTCAGCAAGAAATGTATGGCAATAGTGCATATTGGGTCCTTACACTGTTTGGAGCTATGACATTGTGATCTGGATAGTCCAGATACGAATGTTATCGTTTCTCCTCTTGTATTCTAGGTAGGATTTTGCTTTGCCAATTGCATTCTTCTCCGATTTTCCAACACATTTTCCACCTGGATCTCATTAACTATTAGATCTAGAAATTGGAAAAGTGAGAATGGATACCTTTTGTGGGCAGCATTCCAAAGAGAAGTGCTTAGTTGTAAGCCGTTCCATAGCATTTCCTTTACTACCTTTTCTTGCTCAATCTCACTAGTAAGCATCTCATCTCTAAATCGTGTAATATAACTTTTGAAAATTCTCCTTCCTTTTGTCTTATACTACCTAGATTCATGACTGACTGTATCGTTTCCAGATTTGCTTGCTGGTAGAGAAATCGGCCGCTAGTTGAATTCATTGGTTATTGTGCACTCCATTTTCCGTGATGAATTGGCCTTTTGACCTTTTTAAGGCCTACTGTTGGAATTGCTATAATTCCTTGCCTTATAATTCTTCCTGTTGGGCTTTTAGTTGTGAGAGCTTTCTCGCTTTTTTAAATTTTGTTGTATAATTGTCTCAAAAGTCAAAAGTTGGGAGGACTTCTATTACAAATAATAAAAGATAATGATTGTATGGAAGGCTTCTAATTAAATTTAAAAGTAGAATCTTTGCAATACTTGGTCTCCAATTTACAGTTGGTTTTGGAGTCTTGCACATGAAGGAGTCCTTGTTTGAATTAAAATTAAACTCTCCTACTTGGTTATTGATCCTATAAATAGCGGATGTATTTCATTATTTTGGGTGTGGCCTAAGAGTTAACACGAGAAAGAAATATTGTGAGCCTAATATCTTGAGAATTTTCATACAAAGAGTAGAAAAGTGGGTATGGTAAAGTTCGAGTTTATTTTTTTCTTTGTAATATTTGGGGATTGGATTGATGAGTGAAATTCTATATTGTTGTAACAATTTTTATATAGTGAAAAGTTTTGACAGTCCGTTCAATTTGTGCGTTATATATTTTTATTTTTCTTGTTTGCTAATATTCCATTGAACAACAAAATATTTGCGGGTAAATAGAAATAAGAATTGGCGTAAAATTCCAAACAAGTGATATTAGAGTGTCAGGTGGTTCGGACTATTGGAACAACAAAAAAATGTCATCGTTGAAATATGACGTGGAGAAATTTGACAGGAAGAATCAATTTTGACTATAGCAAGTATAAGTTAGGAATTTATTTATTCAAACTGGACTACAAAAGGTTTTGAAAAGAAAACCAACCAAGAGTTTTGGCAAGGAAGCTGAATCCAGTATGAGTGATGAGGATTGGGAAGAATTGGATTTGAAGGTGCAAGCATGATTGTCTCTGTCTGGCTAAAAATGTTCTTGCAAATATTCATGGGATATATGCTACAAAATGAACTATGGGAGAAGCTAGAAACGAAGAGCCTCTCAAATCGATTGTATCTAAATGAGCAATTTCATTTATCGCGCATGGAAGCGGGTATGAAAATCTCGGACCATTTGAGTGTTCTTAATGGAATTGTTTTAGAATTGGATGCTATTGGAGTGAAGATAGATGATGAGGATAAGACAATATGGATCATCTGGTCTTTTTCGTCTATTTACGAACATATCAAGCCAATCTTGATATATGGAAAAGAAACTATGAGTTTCGCAAAAGTGATAAGCAACTTAATCTCAGAAGAAAGAATATTAGGAGGATAGAATATTCCATCTGACAATGCGATGCTTATGACTGAAAAGGGGAAGAAGGGCAACTTCATAAAGAAGAACACAATTTGTTGGAATTGCGGTCAGACTAGCCACATGAAGAGAAATTCTCCAAAAGGTGGATCAAGGTCGGCTAACTGTTTGGGGTTAGACAATGCGTCTCTCCTGGAGGAGGAGGACGCTTATGAGGTGCTATAAAGTAAGATAGGAACATCCTCATGGCATGTTGCCATGATAGAGGATGTGTTTTTATTAGTGCGGGTTAGCATATTTACACATGCATTAACTGACATTTGAAGCAAAGTATGTAGGTATGTAGTAGTGTTGTAATGTCAATGGTTGATGAGCTTTCTAGGAAAGTCACTGTGAGTGTTGCACTATAACTATTAGCAGGGTTGTTTCGATATGTAGCTGATGAAATGCTCGGAGTTTGTGAATAACTATGAGTGGTTATAGTCATATGATGGAGTATAAGACCGTTAAAGTGTGTCAAAGGCTTACCTGTTTTTCCAAAGTATTGTGATTAAAAGTTGTAGAAGAGATGATGAGATTTTGACTCATTTTCGGCAAGGTGGAGATTGTTGTGTAATTGCCTCAAAAGTCAAAAGTCGGAGAACTTTTATTGTAAATAATAAAAGGTAATGATTGTATGGAAAATTTATAATTAAAATTAAGAGCAGAATCTTTGTAGTACTTGGTCTCCCATTTAAAGTCGGTTTTGGACTATTACACATAAACGAGTCATTGTTTGAGTTGAAATTAAAATCTTCTACTTGGATATTAATCCTATAAATAATGGATGTATTTCATTATTTTGTATGTGGCTTGAGAGTTAACGCAAGAAAGAAATATTGTAAGCCTAACATCTTGAGTTTTCATACACAGAGTAGAAAAGTGGGTGTGGTAAAACTCGACTTCATTTTTTTCTTTGTAATAATTAAGGATTGGGTTGATGAGTAAAATTCTATATGGTTGTAATAATTTTCATACAGTGAAGAGCTTTGACCGTCAATTTAATTTGTGCTTTATATTTTATATTTTTCTTGTTTGTTAGTATTTTTTTTAACAAAAAAAATCTTGCGGGTAAATAAAAATAAAAGGAATTGACGTCCAACAATTTTTCCAAATTTTCCTCGATTTTCTCTTCGCTGCCAGTTCATTTTTAGCTCATCATTCCTTCTACGTAAATACGCGTTTTCCGTCTCCAGAGCCTTCAATTTGGCAGTCATCTCACGGATTATCTTTGCAGTGGGTGCTTCATTTATTTGGAGATGGTCTTCGGTAGGGGAAATCTCTACTAAAAACCTTGTCGTTATTTCTTCCCACTTCTTTTTTAGATTTATATCGGTTTTGACTGAATCGCTGCTAGATTCTTCTATTCCGAATATCAATGTTTTGAGCATCTCTTGATCTGTTTCTATTTCATTCATTTTCTCAGAAACTTGATGCTTTTAAATTTCAGTGGGCAAATTTTGTGGTTTACTTCGTTTGATTTCCCACAGACAACGCGAATTTATTGAAGTTAAAAATTGAATCAAATGATTTAATCGATAAACAATCACAATCAAAGATCAATACAATTACAATCAACAAATCTTCACTTAACTATGAGTTTTACTTCCTAAATTTGCTAGCCTAAATGCTCAAACTAGAACGAGTGGAGAAATAGCTATTTGAAAGGTTGATATTTAAATTACATGCCATTCTTCAAATAGGGCGGACGAGTGTTTATAGATTTCCCTCTAATTTTTTGGGGTAATTTGATAATTCTTGCGTAACTCCATGTGGCTGTCTCTAATTAGTAATCTCATAACTGATTCAGTTAAGAATTACGCTTTATGGTGATTTTTCTTTGACAGCTTGAGCTTGACGAACAATTTAAGAGCCTGTTTGAGAGTGATTTTGAGAATTGATTTTTTGATCGTTAAGAGAAAAGTGTAGTTCATCTGTGAGAGAAGAAGTCAAATATGACGACTGAAATAGTAAAATAACAGGCAAAAAATCAATTTTTGGGTGAAAAAATCGCTTCCAAACAAGCCCTAAGATCTTTATGCAAGTCTTCTATCTTTTTGCTTCCTTTGTATGTTGTCTTTTACCTTGACAACGGGTATATGGGTTGGCAGATGTTGCTCTTGGGGTTAACAGGTGGCTATGGATCGAGTAGCAGAAAAGAGTTGAACATAATCACGTAAAAATGTACATGAGGTCTTTCCTTTCAGACCACTTGACAATGATCTCTTTTTCTCCAACCTTGGAACTTCCCCTATCTCAATTTAGGTTGAGGAACACTTTTATTGTTTACAATACAAGATTGGTGAAAGGATGAAACTTCAAAAAGAGTACAAAGCTACTTGACATTGAGAAGTATTTGATCAAAACTTGAAAGCCAATAGCCAGAAGATTCAGGAATGGAGATCAATCACATTTCAGGCTTATAGTATCACGCACAAACCAAGCTGAAGTTAATTTTGGCTAAGAAACATGAAAACAATGAAGTTTTATTGAACATCAGTGCTGATGAGACAAATTACACTTTTTAAGCTTATCAAACAACGTTCTTCGTGTCCAAGTGTAACAATTATAAGTCACTACGATAAAACAGGTTTACAATGATACAAACAGTCTGATGAAATGAAGACAATAAAACCTACAAAGTAACAAATCTCGTTTTCGCTCTATAAAAACTAGGTTTATAATGACATGATGAAACACAACCTTCGACTTCACTACTTTGCATATAGCAATAAGAACTTTTAAGACAGAAGCTTGGAGAATTCAACAATGGGTACCCTCATTAGAGGGAAAGAAAGAAAAAACCACCATTGCTTTGAGGTATAGAGCAATTAATCAGAGAGAACATCAATGGGGAACCTGTACTGGCTCCTGTTTGTTCAATTCCATTGATTCTTGTAATGCTGGATTGATGGGAAACAACATGCATTGTGCATATTGCGCCATTAGTTGATCAACTAGCACCAGGGCTACAGCAGCTTCAACCATTGGAACAGCTACATCACAACCATTAGGCAGGTTAGTGGCCTATAAAGTTCATTAATGCTTGTATGGTTTTCTTGTCTAAATAACCACTTCCCGGATCTAGAAAACTAATATCTACATATAGTGAAACACAATTATGCCAATATTCCCTTGGCACATCCATACTTCCCAAAAAACTTCACAATTCACAAGTAGTCAAGAGTTATGGCCAATCATTAGCAAATGGTGTTGTTCAGATGAAGTGAATTTTGACTACCACAAAAAGTTACAGGATTCAAAGACAAACCTCGTGGAACAACACAGGGATCATGACGGCCTCGGGCTATGAGCTCTGTTTCATGTTTATCTCTAGTCACAGTGCTCTGTTTCCTCTGCATAAAATTAGAAACGATCATAATATAAATGCTCATTCAATAGATGAAAAGTATTCTGCCAGTGAAATTCTATGATTCTAGTATTGCTGTAGGTGAAACATTAAACATAGCTCAAAACACCACGAAAACTTCTGTTCAAGTTCGTGCATCAAATGGAAGTTGTACGCCATAAGAAACGGTACAAGGAAGATGTATCAAGGTGCCACAATCTATCTATACATGCAGACTCAAGAAACACAGGTCGGTGACGTACAAAAAATTAACAATCTAGGGAAAGTTGAAGCATTTTATTTTATTTTTCCTTTTGACAGCCTTGTCGTGCACATCCATTTTGAAATATGTTTGGGGTTGGAATACATTTTATAGTTTTATACTTTTATTTGGTAGCTCATAAAAAATTAATCACTTTAGATGTCTTTGCCGATTAAGAATTACTGTGGAAAATAATAAGCATCTATACATGAAAATATTACTCAATTTGATAATTAATTATTCAGAAAACTTCTTGTCTTGTTGATCGACCTCGTCCAAAAGATTTGTTTATTAGAGGGCACAACAACTTATTTACTTATATTATGTCTTTAGTACACCCCCTTATATGCATGCTAGATTCCTTTTTTTCACCATATCCCTCGGATTTGAACAATATCTAAAAATCAATGTCGAGGAGATTTGGAACTTATAACCCATCTACTCTCGTATCATGTTGAACCACCTCGTCTCAAAGCTTAAGCTAATAGAGGGGGACAAACTTATTTGAATTATGACTTCAATAAGTTCTCGTACAACTGATCCGAATACACTAATTGAAATGACATTTCTGAGGCTTCAGGTAAAGAGTCATGTGCATAAGACATAAAAGAGAAAGGAGAGGGAGTTTGTGCGTGCGACTGTGTGGTGGTGAAGGGGGAGGGGGAGGGTGAGAGGGAGAGGAAGAGGAAGAGGAAGAGGCATACAGAAATTGTAGATGTTGGCTTGAAACCTATTCTCATATTAATGATTTCTCCATTTGATATTCCACCCTGCACGTGTGTTTGGAATCATTGGAAAAGAGGAAAACTTTAAAACGATAATGTTCACCATATATCATATCCAAATATTAACATTTTTAGAAGAACAAGAAGTCAAGAATCAATACCTGTATACCACCAGATCGGTTGGTTTTAGTCCTGATTCGGCTGTTTCCTTCCATATAAAATTCATCATTATGCTCACTACCAGTCATGAATGTACCTGGCAGATTTTCATTGAACAGAATCTAAAACTGTCATCTCTGTCTCAACAAAAGGTTCTCATCTAAATGTTACACTTCTGAAACATATTAGCTACACATAAATAATAGAAACTGAAAATTGGAACACCGTAGGTTTATAAACCTGCAAATCCACTTCCAAACTCAAATCCCTTTGTTGCAGGTAGAGACATAACAGCTTTGGCCAGCTCCGCTTCAAGTTTATCAAAGACTGGAGAACCAAGCCCCTAACAAGGAATGACAGATTTTTCAGAGAATTTCCAAAATCAAAGACTGATGCATGAGCACAAGCATTGCAGCACAATAACATAAGAAAAACAGAGAGAAGGTGGGTGGGTCGCAGTTTGAGGGAGAGGTGTTACCCGTGGAACATTACGAACAATGCAGGTGACAACACCACCAACAGAATCACCTCTCACTCTAACAGCATCAATTGCAGCAATCATTTTTTCCGCATACTCAGGATTTGGGCACCTCACAATATTATTCTCAATCTGCCAACATTTGGATAATAAAAGGTTTTCAATGGCATGCTATGCCCAAGGATTAGTACTCAAAATACAAGAGCTAAATATTCTTACCTAACAAGGTATTCTCACCTAACAAGGCAATTAAAGACTACTCGAAAAGAAAGGCAAGAAACACAAAAGCAAGAATGAAGAGGATTAGACATCAAACCCAACACTAAAGGTATGTAATCAAGAAAAGATTTCTACTTCTCAACATGAGTCAAAAAGCTAGCTCTATTGAGGCAGCAATGTGGAATCTCGATATTTTTATATCACCCTCACCTCCATTTCCATAAATATAGCGTTCTCAATATTAGGGAAAAATTATGTAAATATTAAGGAAAACCAATTGGTTAATCATAGGGGTAAACATTCCTGCAGGGCATTTCATTAAGTCAATTTTCTGAGAGTAGTGTATTCCTCCCAAAAATAAGAAAAAAAAGGTCAAGTTAACTGAGGTCGTATTTATTTTGAATTATTTGAGCTGATCCAATCTTTTTTCCAGACCAAGTAAGATGTTAGGTTGATGCAATAAGGAGTTTACTTAAACAATAACTAATGGTATTTTAATCACCTTTTCTATTAATTGTCAAGATAACCATAATCTGGTGGCATAATTTGAAACAAATGGAGCCTGAGATGATCATGTTATTTGTTCACAACTTAACAGGAAACTATGGTGTCAAGTAATGTAGTAATTCCATTCATCATCAAAGAGAACATTTTGAAAAAATCTATTTTCGTTGTTTGTTTTCGAAGATATCTGAAACACATTTATTAGGGAAAGTAAGATGTCTCGTACTTTTGTAACTCCATTCATCACCTAAGAGAACATGTTAAAATTTCCATCTCATCATTTACATTTTAGAATTTTTGAATCACATTTATCAAGGAACAAAACACTTAACCAACTGCAAATTTCCAACAGTTAATCAAACATGTAAAAAAAAAAAAAAAAAAAAAGAAAAGAAAAAAAGAAAAAAAAGAAAACGTGTTTGGTTTAAAAACTTTAGAAATAGTTTTATGATATTTTTGAGGAGTATAGGAAGAGAGATAGAGAGATGGAGATGGAGATGGAGATGGAGAGGGAGAGGGAGACGGGTATTTGTATTTTGGGTAAGTTTGGTGTGATTTTAGTAATTATTTTAATTTGGAAAATTTTTAAGCTCATTTTTCTTGTTTTGAATTTTTTGAGAAAACACTCAAAACGTTAAAAAGTCGTTTTGAGTTTTGTGTTATAAAATTTCCCTTGTTTACAAAACTGTATTTTTGAAAATAACATACCAAACACGTTTTGAGTGTTTTTGAAAACTGAAAATGGTTTCAAAATGATAAACCAAACGCACTCTAAGGTTTTTGTGCAATTTAGTAGACTTTCGTAAGTTTTTTGATCAATCAAACTAAACTCATCCAACATGAAAGAGTTTAATGCCATACTTCCAGTAGTATGCAGCATGTCTTATGCCTCCACATTCAGCAACTACATCAGTAAAATGCCTTAAGGGTTGCAATACGGAGTACAAGAGGCTCATTGATGGTGATAGCTGAGAAGGCCAAATCAGGATAGACCTCACGTGTTATGTATTTATTCATTTGACAAATGATATTTTCGCTATTAGTTTATTCATTTTAATATATTTTACCTATTCTCAAATTACTGACCTAAATAATAGATGTCACCAGTACTTACCAGTTAACCTAACACGTGAACTCAACCCATGTCAACCATTGTTGAGGTGTCGTTTTGGAAAGATTTTATAATTTCATTCTGGATGATATGGATAGCTGAAACCTAATATGTGTGCTTTCCTTGTTTGAACTCCTTCAGGGTAATATAATCAAGAAGGTTAGTATCCCATGAGAAAGTTATAAAATGCTACATATTGTCTGAGAGAAGACACAATCAATTTGACATCAGATATGTTGACTAAACGGAAAAATCGAAATAAATTTGGATGAAGACCTCCACAAATTATCCTTCATAAGGTGGATATGGGAATAACTAGGAAGACCTAATAGGTAATGTGACCTATACTGACAACTGTGGAGTAACGCCTTTTTTAAATTTTACCAAGGAAGAAGAAATAAAAGAAAGAAAGGTGTGATGTTGAAGGTGGTATAAATTGATGTTTTTTCTCCTTAATCATTACTTTTACAAATTTTCAGACTTCAAGATGTCCTAGTGCAAAATACTTTTCTCCTCATCTATAGTTTTTAGAAGAAATTTTTTCATAGTAATAGTTGGGTTGGGGAGGGGGGGGGGGTGTCTCATGAGATCTATTTCGGCCTTCGGAATCAAACGAAGGTCAAAGGACCATTCGATTCCCCATTTTATCTAAGGGTTCCCATTCTTTCTTTGGCTTGACAGAGAGGGGAAACCCCTTAATAGTTATCGTAGGTGCACAGGCCCCAGCACTTCCAATGCCTCTTTAAAGAACCGGCCTGTCCATTCCAAGAGTGAAGGACATGGACGGGCTGGTCCTTCAAAGAGGCCTTGGAAGTGCTAGGGCCTGCGCCGCTATGATAAAAAAAGAAATAAATTAAAATAACCTGCACCATATTTCAAAGTTGTTAATTTACTTAATCAGAATCAAATTAGACAGATATATCTCTTTTATATTGCAGTTTCTTGCTCAAAATGAACTCTATATGCCTACACACATTAAGCCTGAGTTGAAATCGTAAACGATGTTAAGAAGCTATGAGCTGGACATGTACTTCAGGCAACCGACTGGACGTTAAACTAAAACCATCTGAAAAGTAGAATTCGCATGCATTGCAGATAGAGTGAGGACAGCTTTACAGACTATTCATGAATGCAGTGTATAAGTGCTCATCCTACCTAAGATGTGCTCCAAAGTACATGAGGATGTCATTGATATTCACAATATATTAAAATAAACCATACACAGACAGAAATGTATACCTGATCAAGAGTCAATGTTTCATGATCAACCAAATCTTCAGGAAGGACAACCTTGTGCACTTGTGAAACATAAGCAATAATCTGCAACACAAAACATCAAGAAATTAAAGAATGCCCCAGTTGAGTTCATCAACGTATATGCTTCTTTAATCATAATGTGACTTGAAAAGAACATGACAGCCTGGAACAATTAGACATGTATATACAAGCAATGATTACTCCACCCAAAAAATTGTTCTAATTATCCAGTCATGTCTAGCATTCTGACTTCTTAGATGCCAAAAAAGCAAAATGTGTAAAGGAGAGGAATCCCACGTGATTAATTTTTAATAAAGACATCAAAGTATAGAACAATATGTCAAAAGTGTCAGGTCTGAGTAAAACACTAGTCAATTGGGCCTTTACAATTAAAATCAAATCAATATAAAACCCCTAAAGAAAATTTCAAAATGCAAGAATAAGCACCACCTACAAGTTAATAGGTCTATCCACAAGAATATGCATGCATTGCTTACATAAAGGTCAAAATGCAGGTCTAAATGTGCAAGTGCAAAGTCCTATAATCACACATTGTATACATAAAATCCTGCATCTGAAGCAGTACCCAACAAAAATGTTTAAACATATATATGCTCTTCCATCACAACATCAAAGAGCTTACCTCTGTTCCTGAATATTGATTTAAAATTTTCTTAGCAACAGCTCCAGCAGCAACTCTCCCAATGGTTTCTCTAGCAGAAGATCTACCACCGCCCTGAATTAGCAGAGGCAGGATAATAACCCGAAAATAGTTTTATAACTCAAATAGATCAGTAGATCAACTATATTTAGAGTTGGTTAATGAAAAAATTGACTAGTGTCCAACTGTAGAGGACCCTACCTGCACTGATCTCACGCCATACTTGAAATCATAAGTTGCATCAGCATGAGATGGCCTATAAGCTAATGACATTTCACTGTAGTCCTGAAAACCCAGTCATATCAGTTAAACTTTACAAACACCATGATAAGATGCATGCTCATATCAGATTCTTGGCACATTTGAAATTGTCCCTACTATGGGAAGATTTGTTTAACTAATCTAGGAAATGTTGACATAGGGAAATTAAAGAAAGACAATCATGAACTGATAATTAAGATAGTCTGATACATTCTATCTTTAAAGGTAATCATGAAGACCCATTAAATGTGAAGACGTCATGATGACAGTGCATATCATTCCGGAACAGATTATTACCACAATTGCTTTGCAAAATATGTGCAAGATCATATCAACTCTTCATATAAAATAAGATAAAGATGGAACAATGACAATGCACTGCATATTCGATGCGTAACTATCTGAGCGTAGTTATTGAATCAAAGCTGCAACGAAACTACAGGGATCAACCTCAAAGATCCACAACAATAAAGTTCTAAACCAGACGACTTATGAATCATTTTGGTAGTGATGTTTCTATTATTTCCCCCTAAAAACTTCAAATGAAAAAAGGAGTAAAGCTTATATACTTACATTGCCTCTCTGATCTGTGTTGGGAACTTCTACCTTGATCGGAGATCCAGTGGTAAGCCCTGTAGTCAATAAATGATGCATCAGTCCACTTCAAGAAGGCAAGCGCATTTAGTTTCAATGAATGGGAGTGCAATGAACAAAATAAAGAGTTTGTGGGGATGTAATCAAGGACTAACCATCAGCAATTCCTGATGCTATTCTGCATGTGTCAGTTTCTTTTCTTGGGGTGGTGATTCGGCTTTGACCTGGCCTCCTGAGAACAACAATTCAGAATTTTATAACTATAATCAGCCTTAAGCATCAGTATCTAACTTATAATTCCATATAATACACAGTCCATAAACAGTTACCACTATCAGATCTTTAGTTTGACTATTATTTTTTTATTAGTGTATTTTATACACTTATTTGGTCTTAAAAATATAGACATTTAATAGTTCTTTCAAGAAATTATAGCATAATTTATTGTACAATTTGTTCATTATGTAAAAGTCGATGATTAGAAGTGGAACTAAAAGAAAGACGAGAAAAACAGTGATAAAATGGTGAAGTCTAAAGTTTGAGGATAAAATTGCAAATATTCAATAATTGATTGGGACCATAAGATGATACTTTGAAGATTGTTAAGAGCTAATTAAATGCAATTGGAAGTCAAAAGGGTATGAAATATGATCAAAATATTATCACAAATCAATTTCCAATCACATAAATTATATTCCAGATTTTTAACTGAATATTGAGACCTATTTTTCGCATAGTAAACATCCGAATTGGAAAAAATCTACTTGCTGTAGCTCTTTGAATTAACTTTTCAATACACTTTAAATCGCCTCAATCGAATATTAAGAGAGAAAATTATAACCAAAATACTAATTGCTGTGCAGAGACAAAAAATATGTATGCACGAATGTAACTTTCCTTATTCGACTGGAACTCTTTTGGAAACCAATTTAAACGTGACTTTCAACCAATATTCAACTCCTACAAATACCTAACACCAGAATACATTATAAATCTCTCCTACACCTGTCATATACATATTATACTCCAATATTCATCAATTATCATCAAATGAGGAAAAATAATAGTTTTTGTGAGAGAATTGAAGGGAACTTGCAAGAATTCAATCAAATGAAGATTCAAACTTGAATTTTGGGCAAAGAACAAAATGAGCTAGTATCAAGAAACCATAGAAGAGACCCAAGATTTCAAGATTTATCTTCATCTTTCCAATTTATCAAAAATTCAGGTTATGTCTTTTTGCTTAAATATGATTTCTTGTAAGTTCGATATGTTATGCTAATTTTATACATTGCTAGAATGAGATGAACTATTATGCCCCACTTATTTATAGCCAAAGTTAAGAAATTATTTAGTCAAGGTTAAGTAATTCAACTAGTCAAAATCAAAGCCAAATAAAGACTTAAGTTGAATAAATGATTTTCATGGGGGTCTAATTTGTAATTACAAGTATTCGAAGGCTAGAAATGATATAATAAAGGAATCTAGAGATTTAGTTTCTATTATTGAAAATTTAAGGGCTAAATGTTATGTTATGTGAAGGAGGGTGACTCGACTTGCAATTATGCAATAGTCATCCACTTGACCACTTAAAAGGATAAGTGACCCCTTTGATTTTCTTTTTTTTTTGGGAGCGGAGGAGAAAAATCGACAAACATGAGGAAGAAAGGGAAACACTAATTGCGTTAAGACTTCTTTAATTCCTAGATGTAAGCAAAATACTTACTTATTTAGGAATGATATTTGACTTTTAGGTTTATGAATAATTACTTGTATTCAAGGATTTAGAAGAAAAAAATGGATATTGAAGTTGAAAATATAATGAAGCTAATGAAACTTTGAAAATAGATTTATGAAATATATACTTATTCTTTGACCTTTTGTGATTATATGATGTCAAACAATAAATTTAAGGAACTGAGGTTGATTTCTCCATTGTTAAGCAATTATTATAAGCAATTTTTGGACAAAATCCTACACAAGTGCTAATTTTTGAACTTAGCCCCAGAAAGTGCTATTTTTGTCAATGGTTTCAGTGATAGTTTTCAATATGCAGAAACAGGTGCCAGACTTCAATACTCCAAAATTTTAGTGTTGTTTATGTCAAACCGTTGTTTCTAAGAGTTTACTAGTTTGAATGAAACTAAATGATAAATATTGAAGTCTAAGTATTGGATTAAATAATGCATAGGGGTTGTCTATGTATAAAGTAGTGATTTTAAAAAAGTAAAGCGATTTAATGGATTTGATCATGTGTGGTGATTTATTGGTAAATAATTAAAGAGAGGAAAAATTAGAGAAGTAGAGATGGGAGAATAGATATAGAAGTGGAGGAATTACTTGGTAGATTTACATTTCAGTAATTATATCGTTATTTCAGGTAATAACATGAAAGCTTGGAAAGTCTCTTCAATTTAGCCAGATTTCTATCTATGGATCTGTGAGTGGAAAAACTCAAATATTTTTAAATATTGATAAATAAATTATACTATTACATTGTATGCAATTATGTAAATTTCTTGTACAATTACATGATTATTATGAATGTTCTTTCATTTTCTTTATGATATATGTGATATCATATTTGTGAATTGGAATGTGACATGTGATATTAAGATCAACAAAAAAGGTACTTGCGATAATTATATACTTCTTCTAGTTCACAAAGGGGCCTTGATTGTGCTCTATTCTACATAGAGGGGTCTTGACCGAACATTAGTCTTAATCGTGTAAATATAGTTCACAAAGGGTCATGGCCGTATTTTAGGATTGATTATTAGAGGTATTTGAGACCCACTTTCGTTCATGGAGGGGGCACAAAGGCCTATGACGAAAGTACCTAGCTCGAGGGAAGGGTTATAGATTTCAGTCAAATGGTATATTTTTTGTAGATTAAATGTAATGTGGTGAGACGATGATATGGATTTGAGTTGATATTATATCTTGACTATGAGATGATACTTTTCAACATTATGAGGTGACTGACATCTTGATTATTATTATATGTTGCTATACTTAGGACTGTTAAATGATACGAACTCAATTTTCGATAAATATGTATAAATGAGAAAGTATAACAAATTTCAAAATTTTTCACTCACTAAACTATTAACTCATTTTTTTTTTCACGATTTTTCTTTTTTATGAAAGGTAATCAAATATTTTGATAATAAATACACAAGAAGTGTATTATCAATTTACACCAGAAACGAAAAACATAAGATTGGATAGCTCGTCTATATGCCTGGTAGTCACAGCATTAAACTAATTATACGATGTCAAATAAAACAATTCTTTAATTTGCTCTATTGTCCGTGTTTTATCATCAAAACAATGGACGTTTCTTTCTTTTCACACACACCATACGATGCAACCCGGAATAAGGTTCCATACAAAATTGCTATCCTTGTCGCCAAACTTTCTCCTCCATACCTTTAACGCGTCTTCCATATGCCTCGGCAACACCCAATCCATGTGTTGAGACGCCAGAATATCGTTCCATAACAAACGAGCAACATCATAATGAAGGAACAAATGGTCAATCATTTCCCCCATCCCTCCTACACATAACAAGTGTTCAAACTATTTTTATCTCACTTTCATATTCTTATAGGTAGCAATCAGTTCTTGATAGCTTGAGGAGCATGATGATTTAGTTTCACGGCCACGCGACATATTGAGTGATATGATTCATTTTGAAAAAGTTGGAAATAATTATTTTGGGCCCATTGTCGTATTGTTTCTTATAAGCATCTTACATGACTCATATCTAATAGTAACTTATAGTCAGCTTTAGTGGTGGATCTGACGTCTAATCAACATCTACCATTGGCACATGTTACGTTCCTGGTTCATTAGGGTGATTCGAGAAGCGTTGTGTCATAACCCTCGTTATCATATTTTAAATTTTAATTAATTATTTTGACTTTAATGTGGTTTGATTTATGGGTGTTTATTATAGTTTTTATCGTTCCTTTCAATTGCTTGATAATTAATTGAATTGTCAGTGGATTTTATGGTTATTGAGAGAGACAATAGGGTTCAAACATAATATAATAAATATTTTAAAGTTCGATAGAGAATAGAGATATATCTCTATGCTTTATATGATATCAAAAGGTGTTCAAACACTTATTAATGGATTTATCATGTTTGCATTTTTCATCAAGAGATAGAAATGTCATAAGAGAGGAAAAGATTGATCACTACTTAGACAAGCTTTCAATTAAATTAGGAACATTGATCAGCATGAATGATTTCAAATCAACACTTTAATTGTTACACTGAAAATGAAATAACAAGGGAATTCAACATCTTTAGCAATGCTTTTCACATATTTGAAAAATACATTTACTTGCTTTCATTAGTTTAATTGATAATTTAGGGATTAATATAGAAAAATCACAATAATTTGTTTGCTATTCAGTTAAAGTTACAATTAATTTTAAGTTGGTCAAACACATAGTTATCGTGGATTCAACATTCTACTCACTACTTAATTACTTGTTTACGATCCCGTTCACTTGCTGGAAATCAAATGATCAAGTTTACTCGATGTTGTGAATATCACTGTTTGAAAAGACAATGGACGGCATTGACATCTGAATTGTACTTTAACTTTAGTCAATCTAAATTTCATTCAATTGATAAAGAAATGATTCTATTTATTTCAAATATTTTTCTTTTGTGTGGTGTGGGCATAATGGGAAAGTAAGATAAAAATAGTTTGACTTTTTGACCATGAAGCAAATCGTTTAAAAAGCTCTAGATTAGAGGAAGTAAAATTCTACTTCACTTTGTCACATTGTTTTTATTTCTTTTCTCCCTAGTTAGAAAAAGCTTTGCTCCCACTGTCATAAACAAATGCTAGAAAATCATTTGAATATGAAAGCACAACCTAATAGCTAAGAAGAAAATACCTTCTATCCAGATCTACTTGCATATCAGCTTCTGAGAGGGGAAGTCTAGGAGGGCATCCATCAACCACACACCCTACACCACCACCATGAGATTCTCCAAATGTTGTAACACGGAAGTAAGTTCCATATGAACTACCAGCCGCCTGTATCTCTGCAAATACATGTTTCCTTATTCAGAAACAAATATCAGATACTACAAAAATTCAGCATCATAGTAATTATTTGTGAGGCTTGAATTTCTTCATGGATGCATAATTTATTCATTGGCCTAGAAACTGATTATAATTCTACCAAATTCATAGAGCTAGAGTATCCCTTTGATTCAACCTGATTGCAAACGGTTGAAAATACAATATTTTCCACGAAGAAAATGAGAATCACCTTAAAACTTGGAAGAGATTAGTAAACTACTGAAAAAAAGTAGTCAACATGGGGTATATAATTGAGATATCTGACATGGGCCAAGGAAATTAAAATACTCCACAATCAAATTAGATAGTCTTGTTTCAAATTGAATCAATAGTTTGCTTTCTCAGTCAAAACTGATCTTTTACCAAACTTTATCCCTTATAATGATCCTTTTTTAGTTCCAGCAGTTATGCACAGTATCCTGTCCTAATCATTTGTCAATTTAGCATTTCCTGTACCATGCAATATTTGGTCATAACATTCTTTAATCAGGAGGGAGTATATCTGTCACAAATCTCTTCATCACTTGCATCGAAGGTAAACATTTTGCCATGCTTTTATCATGTCCCCATTTTAACAGGACATTGAAACAAGTCAAAAAACAGGTCCTCATTCGAGCTCATGTTGTTAGAAAACACGCTGCTAATCCTCTTTTACCAGTCATGATTTCACCTCTGCTCTATAAGAAATCAGATGGATTTGGATAAAAAAATATAAACTAGCCATGATCAAGATATTATAAATCACTAGATGAAACTGGCCGAGATTCAGCATCCTAAAGTTTAACTATGCTTCTCTTGGCACACATTAGCTCAGCTTGATAACACCCGCAGACCCATCACAACTTTTTCTTCCTGAATTTAACTATTAATAAGCACTAGCCAAAAGTCTATAGTAATCAAAACCCAAGAATTTGGCTATTTCCACAGACATGCAAATTGAATTGAGATAAATCGAAAAAACAGAAATAAATCATTAACAAATCCCAATAAGCAAAACATTAATTAAAATTCAAACTTGGCTATAAATAAAACCTGAACAAATCACTAGCAAATCCCAATAAACAAAACCCAATTTTAAATCCCACACATGGATATCAAAAACATAAATCAAATCACTAACCAAGGCGTTTGGATTGGGATCGTCGAGCAGGGAGCCGAAGACAAGGAATGTAAAGCTTGGAGGACGATTGGAGGAATCCAAGAGAGGATCCGTCTGAGGATGGAGCTCCGAGAAAAGGTTTGGTAGATATGGTATACGCCATTATGCAACGCCGTTGGTGGGTTTGGTGATAGTGGAATTGAAAGCAAATTTGAGCGTGGGAATGTAATGTATGTATTTGTATGTGTATATATGGGTATTTGCAGTGGTTGCGGTTGGTGTAAGAGGAGGAGGCCTAGCAAATTCGGAGTTCGGTGAAGAATGGAGCCCACACTGGTCTTGCCACCTACCACTTCCACGTTTTTGCAAGTTTGTTTTGTGGAGGCTAAACTACAAGAAGAAAACGGGAGTTAAGCCTAAGTGCTTGTTTGGTTGCGATTTTAAACCGATTAAAATCAAAATTTTGACGTTATTTCACTATTTCATCCTTTATTTTTAAATTATTTTCTCGCGAGTAGAATCCATTTTATCTTTAATGATCAAAAAATCAATTCTCAAAATCCCTACTAAACAAGCACTAAGTTTGGCCCCATTATGTGGAAATGAAAATAAGCGAATGGTGTTTTTTTTTTTTTAAATGAGTGGTTGAAAAAGAAGAAAAAGCTTTCGATTTACGTGTAATATTATTTTATGGAAGATTGTGTAGTTAAAAATAAGAGAGAGAAAAATAAAATGTAATGAAATTGAAATTAACGAGACAAAACGATGGCTAAATGTTTCAATAATCATCTTAATTTATATCATGGCCTGTGTATTTATTAAAGGGATAATGCAGCTGAAACCCCAAACTTTTAAAAAAGTTGTAGACTTTCTTCTAGCCTTTCATTTGTTGCAGCCGTCTTCCCAAACATTTCAAAACGTTGCGGACGAAGTCTTAATGGATGGATTCCATCTATATTTCTGTTAGTTGACAAAAAAAAAATTAGACTTTGACCATATTTTAATCAATTACAAAAGAATAAAATAGTAACTTTATATTTTTCACATTAAAAAACCTTAAATTAAAAACAAGAAGAAAAGAAAGAAAAAGAAAATAAAATGAAAAGGAAAAATATCTTCTTCTCTCTCACACCCATCCCCACCCCTCAACCCAATATTAGAAATCTACCGTTATTACGACTTGGCCCAAAACCAATCACCTATCTCCTTTCGACCAATGAGTGGAAACCAAGCACCAGGTAGGTACCAAACCAGCCGCTATAGATAAGAAATGCTCAAGCGGCCATGGAGGTCTGGACTTATCATTTATACCACACATAGCCCCATTCAATGCGACGTCTCCAAATGGCCTCACCGGCATATCCTTATCACGGCGAAGCGTGATCAGCAATGCAATTGTCCCACCCAACGACTCTGCATATAGAAGCGCCAACAAAATTGGGGCATAACGCACATGAAATTTATTGAAAAATAGAATACATTCATCTACCACAAGATTGATATCGGGCAAGTGGACAATTACTCCCTTGGAATAGCCATGGCCAATATAGTTTAAAGTGCGAATAGCAAATCCGTGCTTGGAAATGTGAACGAAATCAATTGAACGAATCAGTTGGACTCTCTTGTGCAACCATGGACCACGCATAAAATACCCTTGATGGGGGTTTGGCTTAGGGTCGACCATTTTGTGAAAGAGATTGAGGCCCCTGCTTGCTAGTAACGTTTTTTAGAGGTGTGGCGAGTGTAAAATTGTTAGAGACTCAGTGAACCAAATGGGCTAGTCTCATTGGCTTCTGCTATAGGGTACTTGTGCTAGGTGGTGGTGATGGAAAATTTCTAGTTTTGGGTTGAGGGGTTGGGGTGGGGGAGAAGAAAAAATTTTCCTTTTTATTTTATTCTTCTCTGTCATTTTTTTTGAAGGTTTTTAATGTGAAAAATATAAAGTTACCATTTTGTCCTTTTGTAATTGATTAAAATGTGATCAAAGTTCAATTTTTTGGTCAACTAATAAAATCTGGATGGAATCCATCCATTAGGGCTTCATCCGCAAAGTTTTGAAAGGTTTTGGGTGACGATTGCAACAAATAAAAGGTTAGGGGAAAGTCTACAATATTTTGAAAGGTTTGGGATAATAGCTGCAATTGGCCCTTTATTAAACTTTAAGCTATTTCAAATGTTCATTGAACTTTTCCCATTTGTGCTTCATCTAACATTTGTCAAATCTGTTCCCCTAAATTGGCATAATAATAATGTCATCGTTTTTGGTTTTGATAAAAAGTGTAGTATTCGCTTTTTTCATTGAAAAATCATTTTAGAGGAATGTGCTCAATCTTTCATATTATACACTAGGAACTTGCTTTAAACGGTGAAGAATTTTTCTTAGTTTGAAAACATTGTTCGAATACATGTGATTTTTAAAATTAGAGGGTTCCTCTAAAATATCTTCTTGAATAAAACAATTTAGAAACACACTTTTGATGTCCATTTGATGGAGAGTAAATCTTTTATGACAAACAAAAGCAAGAAGCATGCAAATTGATTCTAATATAGCAACTAGTGCAATGTTTCTTCAAAATCAATGTCTTCTTCTTTATTGTCATCTTTTAGGCTATTGATCTAGCCTTGTTACGCATAATTATTCCAATTTCATCTCGTTTATTTTTAAAAAGCCACTTGTACCATTAATTGTTTGGTCACTTAGTCTAACAACTAAATTTCAAATATGATATCTTTCGAATTTATTTAGTGTTTTTTTTTTTTTTGCATAGCTAGAGTCCAAAATTCATCAAACTCGACTTCTTGGAAATTCTTTGGTTTAATTTTCGAAATATAAATGTAATTATTGAAATGGTTTCTACCAGAAGCGCTATTAAACTTTTTGATGGATCATCAATAAACCTCCATTCCTTAGGTAGAGTTGGATCATTTGTACGTCGAGAGATTCTACTTCATCTTATCGCACATTTGCTTTTTCCTCGTATAGATTATACTCCAAACCTACATCATTATCAATACCTTTATCTTGATCAAGATGATTAGTTTCATCAAATTTTACATGCATGGATTCATCAACGACTAAAGTTCTTTTGTTAAAAATTGTATAAGCCTTGCTAGTAGAGAATATCCAAGAAAATTGTCAATATTGGACTTTGAATAAAGTTTTTCCAAAAAACTAACTTATTCGATTATCGTGATATATTTGGAATCTCAAAACCAATTTTAGATGACTGAGAAGTTGAAGTCCAAAATTGGAACAAAAATAGAGAAAAAACTAGATGGGAAAATTGTCAACTCTGTCGCTCGCCTATCGCTCGAGCAACCGACTGTCGCTCAAGAAACGGGCTAGCGATAGGTGGCAAAAAGTTTCTGTAAGTCATTTTGACACTGGTGCTTATGCGAGAGGCCAATGACAGGCTAGCGATAGTAAGTGATGCTTTTGTTTATAAGGTTGCAAGGTTTAACACACAACACTTCGCCTACAACCCCTCATCCTCTATAAATAAGACCTTTTGGACATCCATAAGTCATTCTATATTGATTTCGAATTAGGCATTACATCAAATCTCTTGCAAAAACGCTCCAAAATTCATTCCATATCATTTTCCTTATAGAGAGGATAAATTTCGTTCAAGTTCGTTGTAGCTTGTGTTTTGGAGTGCTTCTTCATGGTCCCTCGTATCTTGGGAAACAAGTGTCGTGAACCGTTAACACTACTGTGAAGCAATTTTGTCTTGAGGAGAAAGTGAATCACTTGTATCATTTTCTATCTCATTTTTCTTCATTTCTTATTTCTTTGTGATGTGTATACCATAAAGGGTTTTCATTGTATTTAATTACGCTCCTGTATATTAAACTTTGATTTACATCCATCACATAACGAGCCTTTTACCAGATTATATTGGTAGACAACAATCTTCAGACAAAATTTGGGTTGTTGTGTTGTAAACAGACCTGTGATCTTCATCTTTGGAGTAGGCTTTACATTTTATTCCCTTCTTATTATTGTTGCGTAGAACTTTTCTTTGTGTAACAGAAATGAACACCATGGAAATGAATTCAAGTCAAACTACCAATGGCACGAATAATGTGGTTCCCCCTTTGGCCATACCACTTCAAAATACTGCGATCCCATATGGAGAAATCCAAAAAGTTTGGAAGCTTGGACTTCAAGAGATGGTAACAAAAGATATTGTTTTATCTAACCACTCTAAACTTGACAAAGTTTATAAAGGAGACCGCACCAACCTTACAAGAATGAAAAAATAATCGTGAATCAATTATTACCTTAGATGAATGGAAGCACTCGAACTTCTTATGCAAAAATTATATCCTAAACGGATTGGACAATATACTATATGGAGTATATAGTTCGAAGGACTCGGCCAAAAAAAATATGGGATTCATTAGAAAAGAAATACAAGACCGAGGATGTCAGGATGAAATGCTCATAGTCGATAAGTTTTTAGATTATAAGATGGTAGACTCCAAGATCGTGATAAGTCAAGTACAAGAACTTCAAGTTCTCCTTGATAACATACTCGCCAAAAAATGGAGTTGAGCACATCTTTTCAAGTCGCTATCATCGTTGAGAAACTCCCTTCTATATGGAGAGACTTCAAAAACTATCTCAAGTACAAACATAAGGAGATGAACTTAGAGGAATTGATTATCTGATTGAGGATCAAAGATTACAATAGGCATATCGAGGAATGTCTATTGTCTAACTTGAAGCAAATTTTGTTTAAGCGGCTCGAAGTTTGTCAACAAGTGCAAGATGTCCGATGATGCACCAAGAAGTGACAACTCCAAAATAGCCAAGAAGTTTAAAAACAATTGTTACAACTGTGGACAGGCCGGACATTGTTCAAAAAACCAAAGAAAACCTCACAAGCCAACATGATTGAAAGAGACACACTGTCTGATGGGATACAAAAAATGAATCTGTCTGTTTCTAAATATAACAATGTTGGTAACTCTCAGGAGTGGTGGGTTGATACTGATGTTACTCGTCACATGTGTGTAAACAAAGTTATGTTTCTAACTACAGAGATTTTGATGGAGAACAACTCTTCATGGGAAACTCCGCAAGTTCCAAGGTTGAAAGGTAAGGAAAAGTTGCATTGAAGATGACTTCCAAAAAAGAACTCATCCTCAACAATATCTTACATGTGCTGCACATTGGCAAGAATCTTATATCCGGGTCTCTACTTAGTAAAAATGATTTTAAACTTGTATTTGTATTCGATAGATTTGTACTTACTAAGAATGAGATGTATGTAGGAAAAGAATATATGTGTGATCGAATGTTCAAAATGAATGTTCTTACAATTATACCAAGGCAAAGCATTATGAATAAATATTTGAATTCCGTTTATATGCTAAAATTGTCTTGTTTGTGACATGGTTGATTAGGACATGTAGCTTACAAGTCTTTGTAGAAACTTATGAATCAAAGTTTCATTTGGGCGTTAAGATTGATCCTAATCGTAAATGAAGTATATGTTGAAGCAAAGTTGGCTAAAACACCGTTCTATTTGGTTTTAAGGAAAACTACACCTTTAGAATTAATTCATAGTGATATAGGTGATTTGAAATTCGTTCAAACTAGAGGTTGTAAGAAATACTTTATAATTTTCATTGATGATTGTACAAGGTATTTTTACGTCTTCTTACTATGAAGTAAAGATAAGGTCTTAGATGCATTTCAAAGTTATAAAGCAAAAGTTGAAGCTCAACTTTGGTAAACTAATAAAGAATATTCGTAGTGACATATGAGGTAAATACGAGGCATCATTTGAAGATTTCTGTTTCAAACATGGAATTATTCATCAGACAACGGCACCTTACGCACCTTAATTGAATAGGATTGCAGAGCGCAAAAGCCGAACTCTTAAAGAAATTATGAACGCAACGTTGTTAAGTTCAGGTTTACTTCAGAATTTGTGGAGGGATCTATTTTAACGAAAACTAGTGTTTGTTAAGACTTGGGGTCCATCTCAATAAGGTCAACCTTGTTAAGAGGAATGTCCCAATTCTTTATATATTGGTCATTATTTCGGTATTTTACCGATGTGGGATTATATTCCCTTAACATGCCCCCGCAAGATGGTAGCTCGTTTGAGCAGACCAATCTTGAAATTCGTGTGCTCATTTTTAGAGACTTAATCGGATCGAATCGCTCGTTGGAGCTTAATGGGCTCTGATACCATGTTAAGTCTTGGGGTCCATCTCAATAAGGTCAACCTTGTTAAGAGGAGTGTCCCAATTCTTTATATATTGGTCATTATTTCGGTATTTTACCGATGTGGGATTATATTCCCTTAACAGTGTTATTAACAAGATACCCCTCTCAAGAAAATCAAAGAAAACCCATATGAATTATAGAAAGGTCATCTTTCTTCATACCAACACTTGAAAGTATGGAGGTATTTGGCTAAAGTTGAAATCCCTAAGCTAAACAAGCAAAGATTTGTCCCAAAACGATTGTTACATATTTATTGGATATGTCAATGACAGTAGTGCATATTGTTTCCTTATACATAAATTTGAAGTTCAAGATGTACATGATGGAACCATAATTAAATCAAGAAATGCATGATTCTTCAAAAATGTTTTTTCATGTAAAGATAGGGAAAGTGCAAGTTCAAATAAAAGAACTTATAATACTACAAGTAGTACTTCAAA